CATAATACTTAAAACATATATTTATTATGGTATATGCTATTTGTTCTAAACGAAATGATACGTTATAATCAGTGAAACCATTGGAATAACATGGGTAATACTAAGTCTATGGACAATGATAACTCAATGAGACTAATGCTTATCCTATGGACTAATGTTAAGTCTATTGCATAGGAATAACATGGGTAATACTAAGTCTATGGACAATGATAACTCAATAAGACTAATGCTTATCCTATGGACTAATGTTAAGTCTATGGACAATGCTAAGCATATGGGTAGTGCTAATCCTATGGACTCTTATTGAATGTGTAGATAATGCTAATCTATTCTTTGAGCATCACTCGAATAGTGGTTAACGTATAGCATCGCTGTGTGATCCTTGTTTTCAATGCTACATCTGTTTACAATTCTGCCCATTTTCATACGAATATCAATAGGGTTTACAACAAATACCATATTGTCTAACTAAATGTTTTGCAATTTTCTATAAAAATAGAGTTGTTATCAAATATTGTATTAAATTATTTGTCATTTAAACAGTGTTTCCAATGGTTTCACTGATTATAACGTATCATTTCGTTTAGAACAAATAGCATATACCATAATAAATATATGTTTTAAGTATTATGTTGTAAGTAATGGCGATGTATTTTTAACATACAAAATATTGAACAATATATTTTAATCAAATTAAGCTACCATTTTATTAATTTACGTTTATATTAAATAAAATTATTACAAAATGTGTGAATTGCTAGAGAAGTTAACAAATTGTGGTAACATTTCATATGATTTAAAGAAAAATATATCTAAAGTGCATATATTCTATGACTGGAGAAAAGGAGTTAATGTGTTGTTTATTACATCCGATGATATGGTCTATGGTTTAGGTAATAATATGGACGGATGTCTAGGTTTCAAACACAACAGACCCGTACTATCACCAGAACTGATACCACAATTATGTCATCAAAACATACAATACTTTGTCAATGGATTGAATTTTGTGTTAGCAGTGAATGAACGCAACATATATGGCATGGGCTGTAATATCTGGGGACAATTGGCACGTCCTGATCAAATTGGCCGTGATTGTCTTGAACCAGAAATAATAAAATACTTTGAACTTAAAACTATCAAACAAATTAGTTGCGCAAATTATCACACAATGGTCTTAACCAGTGATGGCCGGGTTCATGTCTGGGGCGGAAATAATTGGGGCCAAATTGGTTGCGGAGATAATTGTGAATACAAATGTACACCATTTGAGTTAAAATTCGCTGATAATTGTATTATTATATCCATATATTGTTCGTACGGCTCATCGTTTGCCATCACATCCGACGGACATGTGTTCAGTTGGGGCGACAATAGAGGCCATGAATTGGGGCACAAAATAACAGATTATAAAGTATTTAAACCGCAATTAATATCAAAATTAAATGATGTGAAAGCAATCAGTTGTAATATTTATGGCACTTATTTCTTAATATCCGAAGGATGTCTATATTTTTGCGGAGAATACTATGAAAACGATACGGAAATGATTGAACACAATCCGACACAAATACTAAATGAACAAAAATTTCAAGATTTACAACAAATTAATTCATATTTTATGAATAGAATAGAATTTGTGTGTGTTGTAATAAATGGTAACATCTATGAAATATCAAACGAACAAAAAATAATTGCAACAAGTTATTCAAATTTTACCGATTTTTACGCAACTGAATACCACGTTACTTATAATACAATTTTTATTAAACAAATTGTGTCAGACAAAACAAGTGAGATGAATCGGCCTATCAAATATCTGAGCAATAATGGTATTTATAAAAAAAACAACTTTCTGAAAAACATATAATGATTTTAAATAAGTAAATACTATAAATATATAAAATTTATTATTAAAGCATTGTAAACATGACTGCTTAGTGCCAACAACCTTATGCTTAAATTGCGTGTGTCAAAAATTAGGCCAGACTGTACAAGTAATGAAGTAACAAAGATTGCTTTCAATTTATGACTAATTTATCGGGAATTTAAATCAGTCACTCTTGCGGGTGAGGATGCGGGAAGGGGGCATAACGATCCGATAAACCACATTATTCATAGCTGAATTGTTGTTAAAATATAAAATTGTCAGTTAAAAAGAAAATATTTATGTAAAATTACAACAGCAGTCTATTAAATTTTTATCACGTATAGCCAACGTTTATCAGAATTTTAATTTCATTAGCATTATTTATTTTATAATTCATAGATTTATTTACATGAAAATTTATATTTGATTTCGAATTTTTATAGATATCGTAAATTTTGAGAACATTGTAATTTTATTATTATTTACTAGCAAGCATAATGCCCGTTTAAACTGGCGCGTTTACTTAATTTAAGCCAATTGCGTTTATTTTGCAAAACTTTTGGTTTTACAAACGTTTAGTATACACATAGTTTGTTACAAACACCCACCCTCTATTTCTTTATCCCCCTCAATGTGTTTCAAATGCATATTTTAACTCCCACCTTTTATAAATGTAACGTTTAGTGTATAACATTATGCGTGACCCTCTGTTTGTTTATTATATTACTGATTATAATTATATAATATATTTTATTTAAAAAGTACCATTTATCAAATCTGAAAAGTAAATATAAACAATTAATTGTGTTATTAAAATAATTAATTAATTCTAATAGAAGAGTACAACCTTGCTGAAATGGTTTCAAATAATCCTACTATAATAAAGCCAAGGTATGTGATATCAACATAAAATTTAATAATATCTTTATTCATTATTAGATAATAAAAATAAATATAAATGCATAGATTTAAAATTAAATTTTATAAAGCTATTTTATAATTTGAATTAATTTGTTTAATTACAATAAAAATGAATTTTCTATTAAATCAGTCCGGTTACTTTTCCATTAAGCCAATACATTGCTACAAATATACTACCAACACCAAAGCCAAGGTGTGTAATATTAAGTTTTATATAATATTATTAATTGTAATTTTATTAAGATCTTTGCTATAGTTTTAAATATATTTTTATTATTGTTAAAATTGTTTTACAAAACAAAATAAATTTAATTAATAATAGGGGCTTCAAAAACGTGGTTGCCATGGTGGATTCAAATATAATTACAACAGCCAGTATAGGCGTAGATGCTATTAGAGAAAGGTTTTATAAACCGGACCGAAGAATTTCACATGTGACTATGGACAAATCACCACCAGCGAAAAAGTTGGGGGCAAAAATTCCTAATAAACCGGACTTGGGCATTTCACATTTAACATTAGAAAATTCACAATTGGTGAAAAGGTCGGTTACAAAAATAATTGATAAACCACCGGATGTACACAAAACAACACCAAATGAGGTAATTTATAAAAAATAATATAATTTTAAAATGTAAATTTAATTTTTGAATGTAGAAAAAAGAGCTGACAATATTATTGTTGGGAGAGACAGGTGTGGGAAAGTCTACATTCATTAACGCTATCGTTAATTACATGTCTTATGAGAGTATTGATGCGGCCATTGATGGACAGCCCATATGTTTAATACCCGTAAGCTTTACGATGGCAGACACAAAAACTGGAGAAGATATCATGGTAACATTTGGTGACCAAGATATTAATGAGAACACTGAGGACTCGACTAAATCTGCCACACGATATCCTAAATGTTATAAGTTTCAAAACAATAGCATTGTGCTCAATATAATCAATACGCCGGGAATTGCGGACACGGATGGTGTGGACAAAGATGAAAAAAATTTGCAGAATATTTGGGATTTTATTAGTAATTATCCGGAAATCAATGCCTTTTGTGTGCTTTTAAAGCCAAACCAAACGAGAATTAGCCCAGCGTTCAAGTATTGTTTGCTACAATTGTTCACTCGTTTGAATAAAAGCGCCGCAAATAATATACTATTTCTGTTCACAAATTCTCGGAGCACTCTCTACAGTGTTGGCGATACGAGCCCTGTCTTAAAGGCTATTTTAGGGCAAATCAGAGAAACTCATCCAAATGTTGACATCCCTTATAATAGAAATACAATCTATTGTTTCGATTCCGAGTCCTTTCGATATCTCGTGGCTTCGGTTCCGCCAAATAATATACAGTTTGACCCGAAATATATGGCCTGTTATGTTGACAGTTGGAACGTGTATGTTAATTTACATAATTATTAAATTATTATTACACCTAAATATACGTAGTTAATATAAAGGTTTATCATCATGATCATAGGTCTGTGGATGAATGTCGTCGATTATTTGAGCACATAATGGAAATGCCGGCACACAAAGTGATGGACACCTTATCACTGAATAACGCCAAACAAATCATACAATTATTAACCAAACCGTTGGCCGACATCACGAAGAATATCGCGGATAACGTTAAACAATGCGAAAAACATAAGGTAGAGATAAATCATTTTACGGGTAATATTGAAGCCCTGCGGAACAGTCTCTACATGAATAAAATCCAGATTAAATCCGTGCCATTAAACTACACAAAGACTGTGTGCAGTGACAGTCGATGTTGCGAACATACGGTAGTCGATGGCGTGACCCAGACTAATTACAAAACCGCTTGCCATTCACCATGCTACCTGCATGGTGGCGACCTAACCCGGTGTATAGCGTTCAACCGGCACAGTACGGACGACCGGGTGCGAACCAAGGGCTTTTTTAGCGAAATTGCCCGCAGTTTCAGAGATTCGACGCATGGCTCTGATAATTGTTTGCATTGCGGCCACAGTTATACACAGCACCTGCACATCACGTACGACACTAAGCCCGAAGTGATCAGAGTGATTGATCCGGGGGTCAGCGCACGCATAAGTACCGCCCAATCGTCCGCTGCGGCCAAACAGCAACTCATCCGAGTTATGGACCAACAGATCGCCGAATTGAACGCCGAAAGCGAGACAATTGTGAAATCCATGTCAATGTTTGCCTGTTTTCTGGCCAACAATGCGTTGACGCCTATGAACGACGCGTTCGAGGATTACGTCCGACACCTGATAGCCAACGAACGGCACAGCACTTCCGGCGCTGACTCTGTGGTCACTATCACACGACTCGAACGAGTGTTAAAGATATACGAGAGTGAAAAGCAGTTGATTATGTCGGCGATGAGTGGATCGGCGGTTGGTTTCCAGGGTTCAGTTATTACGGCCGAACAGATAGATGAAAATGTGGGTAAACTGTGCATGCTCAAACACAAAGGCCAAGACATTCGGACCATGTTGGACATGCAACGTGCGGCCAAAGCTCAGATACACGCCGCTCACAATACGCAGCCAACCACTAGATTTAACATGGCGACATTTTTACTGGGACACAAAGAAATGGATTAATTTAACTTGCACTTATTAATTACCAAATAATTTATATAATTTTTCAGATTTATTATCTTTTCAAGAAAATACTATTATTATTTTGTTTAAATTGACTTAAAATTTAGTTTAACCTTGAACTTGTAGTGTTTTCATAAAATATTGCATTTTGGAAAAACTATTTGTTTTTAGCTAATCCAGTATATTAATTGTATTAATCTCTTTCTTAAATTGATTTTATTATAAAAATATTAATGCATAACAATTTTAAATAACCGAGATATATTAATAACCAAGTTTTCTTTCTATTAAAATTAATGAATTATTAATGTGTTTTGCAATTTCACAAGTTATTTTACATCAACATCTTATTAAATTGAATACATTGTGATTTATGCTTATTGCATTTATAATTATCAACTAGCTTATAACTTGTTAATTTTATCTTATATAACAAATATTTATTTGGGAACTTATATGGATAGTTATTACAGTTTACACATGTAACAAATTGAATTTTAAATTTTCAAACAGCCTTCATAGTACCAAACAATTTGTTTACAAAATTGACACAGTGTTTATTAAATTGTTTGTATTCCTCATAATTGTATTTTTTAAAATCGCTCAAATGAATTGTTTTATATGTCATTTGCAGTTCACATAAATAATAGTCAAAATCATTCGTATAATTAGTTTCATTCAATTTAAGCGAATAACTACTTTCATATATTTGATTATCACTCGATAAACATATTACATGAGCACTATTTTTACACCATGATTTGAGAGCATATAAATTGCGCATGGTGATTGTACCAGGTTTAGTATTAAATAATTTTATTGCTGATTGATGCACTAAATAACGTTTATTATCGCCAAAATATTCACCACAAAAATATACAAATCCATCGTTTGTTAGGAAATAGGTTTGTCTGTCAATCGGACACACCGTTTGAATGTTAAATAAATCCACAATCAGTTGCGGTTTAAATATATTATCCGATGTATTGTGTCCTAAATGTGCGTCAATATCGCCCCAACTGAATACCCGGCCATTGGTTGTGACGGCAAACGATGAAAATCCATAACAATAAACACCACGTATTTTGTATTCACTTTCATTGTCTATAAATTCAATTTTCATAAGATTTATACCATTCCAGTTCTGTACACCGCAACCCAACTGGCCATAAGTATTATTACCCCATCCGTAGACACAATGAGCGCCGGTCAACACAAGTGAGTGATAATAACCACAACTAATATCAAGAATATTAGGATTAGTGGGCAAACATATTATAAATGGTTCTTCATATTCATTAGTTGGTGGTCGAGCTATTTGCGTCCACTTGTTATGACCCCAAAAATGTATACAATTATTGTCGTTAACAGATAAAACAAAATCGGCTCCACAAATAAATCGTTGTATATTTTGATGACATAATTCCGGTATAATATGCGGTGTATTCATAGCCCTATTGTGTCCCAAACCAAGTGATCCCCATTTATTAGATCCCATGCCGTAAACCATGTCATTATGTGTTGCATACAATACATTATAGCCATCGCTGTCATCAAAAACGTGAAATAATTTAATGCAATTTATATCTAAAATTTTATCGCTTGAATTATGTTTGGCATCAAATGTCAAACCATTGTCTGTCCGCTCAGTCCTTATGGGTATTTGTCTCTCCGGACGACTGTTTCCCTCTTCGCCGACACTTCCCTTTATTTCACTTTCATTAGTATTAACAGAAACTTTGGTTATATTCTGTTTAATTAATTTATAACAATTATAATTTGTTTTAAAAACATTTCAATGATACTTATTTAAAATGTTAATTATTATTTAAATAAATTATTGCCTACCTTGTTGTTATTAGGTGTTTTTAAGCAATCACGGTATTTATTGCTTATATGAATATCTGTGAAAACGTTTGTATCATTTAATTTACAAATGAAAAACTCGTTAAAAAATGAGTTGCCATTCAGTTTCAGTAAATTAATTATTTCATTAATTTCTTGATTATTTACTTTAATAACATTTCTGTCGACAGACCACTGATTATAGTCGTCGAGCACTTGACCACTGGTCGGCCGATCGTCGGCTATTGATAGAAACATTTGTTTAATTATTTCAAACAATTTGTTGAAATTGGTTGAAAACGAGGTAGATTTATATTTTTCCATTGGTTGCTCACTAATAAAATATTTATAAATTATGTTAACAATGATGATAAGGATTAAGTTAAAGTAATACTTATATAAATGACATACATATTGAATAAATCAAACAAATGATACGCAATGACTGCCAGGCTATAGATGTCTACTTTGATTGTATACTTGGACTGATATACTTCAGGTGCCATATATTGTGAAGTACCAATATTAGTTGTGTGGCTCATGGATGTCATGTCGTGAAAAGTGGCCGAACCAAAGTCACACAACCTTACGAACCGATTATCGTTATTATTTTGTGAGATCAACACATTTGATGGCTTGAGATCCCGATGGATAACCGGTGGACACAAATCGTGTAAATATTTCACACTTTCCAACAGTTCTTTGAATATTTCGCACAAAATGAAATATTCAAATATATTCATCACGTTTTCCTGTTGTCGCCCAAAAACGAGGTGTTTGTTATCGATAATTGACTGTAGATTTTGTGAGTAATAGTCCATTTGAATGTACAGTTGATTGTCTTCGCGCCAGGAGTTGCGGTGATTGACCACATATTCTGAGCGCAATTTTACCAAGTTTTGCACCTCTTTCACTATATCCCGTTGTTTGTGGTCGTCATAAGTGTCTGTAAACCAGGCGTAATATAAATACAATATATAGTTGTTTTACATGTTTTAAAAATTCAAATTACCAAGGAACTTAACAATTTTGACCGCATACACCTGATTTTCAATTGTATGCCTCACTCGATATACTTGACCGAACCCACCCCTCCCTATATCTGACAACGTTTCAAAATTATTGTCAAAAAACTTTGAATTGTGGTTTAAAACTGCAAACATAATTCAAAAAATACAAAATAAATAAATTGATAAACATATTACATGAATAGATAATTTGTTATCTGTCATTATTATAGTTACCTGATAATTTGTTAGACGCCATTTGTATAATACCTCAATATTATGTTATGTTTAATACTATTTCTCAAGAGTATTAATGATTTTAATTGTTGATATTTTTTAAAACTTATAATTAATAACACACAATATTATGCTTTGTAATTTATTAATAAATTCAAACGACAATATTAACTATATTGAACGGTATTAACAGTAAAATAGTTTACTGCATAATAAAAGTGAAATGTTTATTCCTAAATATCATTTGAATGTAATTTATTTTATTTGAATTGTGATAATCAGTAAAAACCATTGGAAACACGTATTTGTTGACAAAGAATTTCATGCAATATATGATAACAACTTGTATTTTATTATTTTATTGAATTACAAAAAATATTGATCTCTCTCTCTCTCTCTCTCTCTCTCTCTCTCTCTCGCACACATAATTGTGATAATAAAATCATATCATTGCTAATAATTAACCATCATTAATAAATGGGGACTCTTATTATAAATAACTTGTAATTAAAAATTTATAAATATAAAATAGAATAAATGTAACATTGTAAACAAAATATTAATTATTTATCTAATTAGTATAAGAATTGCAAAAAGTACATATTCATAATTAGTTTTTAAAATACTTATGATCTAATTATTATAATTATTAAAAAACTGTTTTAATATTTTTGATGCAAATAATGAGCTCGTGATATGAATTAATTAAATCAAAAATACATTGGTAACCATCATTATAATTGAAAATGGGCAATTAAATAGTAAATCATAATGATTGCAATACATGAATACATGTTTACGATTAAAATACTGTCCTAAAATAATTCACAACAAAATAAATATTAGTTCTACAAACAATTAAATTTTATAACGTTCCCTGTTTAATATTAAAATTAATATAATAAATATGAGCTCTTTGACACTATTTGACATTTAAAAACTTGTACTAAATACTTAAGGGAATTAATAAATTACTTTATAAAACAATGAGTTTATCACCAAAACCACCTAGACAATCTATAGTTTCAATAAATGTGAACATGTTTCAGCAACATTTCATCGCTGATGTAATCAATGACGTCCGGCGCGAAGAGATGGTCAGTTTTGGTCGACTTGAAAAACTGATGGCCCGGACGTACTTAATGTTATCGCCAACATTTGACCAGTACCTTACACACCAGTTGCCATTAAAACGGATTATAATATTCCAGCTTATGAAATTAATGTCAATCATTACCATGATTAGGTACGGGGTGTCAGCCCTATTCAACACACCTCGTGTGTTATACTTAACCAGTAATGCTAACTATCTGTTGGGCAATCATACTGTTTTGTCCCTGATTTTATCGGCCGGCGCTCTCATATGCAACCTAATGTCGGGGTATATATTTTATTACCACGAGTTAAACCACAAGTTTTATATTATACAGTATTTTCACGACATTAGACACGGTTTGATTGGCAATGCATTGAAGGGCAAATTACGTAAAAAATATTTCAGCAAGATGAATTTTATACTTAATTATCTATCTTATCCATTGATAACTTTTCTGTCATTAAATGCTACAATAATTTTCCTTTTGCCGCCATTTATCGCAAACTTCACGGGAAAATTACCAGAATATTCCCTATTATTGTCCACCATTTGGCTGGCCATAGGAATAGTATGGCTCATAGACTTTTACGTGGTGTGTATAGTGGGAGGCCTGTGCTGTTGGTACCTATCGTTGGCATATCTCAGGTACCAATTCATTCAATTGAATATACAGTTTGCCAAAGTATTTAAGCATGGTGATTACTTGAGTATAAAACAACACCTTATACAACACAATGAATGTTGTATTACTATTAACAAAATAAACGTAACTTTTAAACACGTTCTACAAGTAGCATATAGTTTCGCTAAACCGGCTATTAATCTGCTTATATATACATTGTTTGCACCAGACACACATGTATCGGCCCGTATCTGTGCCGGTATAGTGCTGTTAACCGTATTTACCATAATTATAAATCTCAACTTTATTTGCGCTAATGTATCGACAGCTGCCCATCGCGTCAGGAAAACAATGCTCAACTCATTAGCGGCCGATAACTCCAGTCCCGGACTGGCAATTGGTTTGAGATTAAAACTGCATTCATTTGTTGAGGATTTATCCGATACTAACATAGGCTTCACTTGCGGTGATTTATTCCCCATAAATAATTACGAGTTTTATAAATTTATTCGCGGTTGGGCGTTTCAATATTTTCTGATCATGGACATTTTATATACGAGTAGAGTGATTTTGTAATCATTAAATTGTTTTACTACACTTACTTCACACAAGTGATTTATAAATGTGTATTGTTTACAAATATTTTAATTTAAAATATAATAATTATGTTAATTTTAAATGTTATATTTTTATTCCCGAAAAATAGATGCTTAAGGTAAAATCAATTCCCGGCATGTTGATTTGATATTGTCGTGTTTAGTACTACTAAATTGATTTTAGATTTATAATAGAAATATATTTTATTAAAAAGAATTATGTACAAAAATACATATTTTTAAAAATATATTATTTAAAAACTGTTTTAAAAACTTTTCATTAGAAAACTCATTATTGATGATAGAAATCAATGATTATTGATTTAAAAAGCGCTATCAATTGACATTATCATTGTTGTTGATTATAAAATATTTTCATAATACAGTATATTCTCACAAATTCATATAAAAACTTTTAATTTCAAATTAAGTTATTGTTATTTTAATTCATAATTTTTTACAATATAAGGCATCCTGTTTTATTGTCAAACAAGTAAGTAGTTGAATCGTTATCAATCGTTAATATAACTTGTATTATTAAACTAATTTATTTAGATAAAATTAAATGTAATTTACAGATCAAATAGACTTTATGAAAATTAATTGTAAAATGGAGGTAATGACTAAAAAAGCAAAATCAAGAATATTTACGAGATATGTTGCATATATTGTGCAAAAAATCATTGGAGTTGAAAGAGTGAGGGAATGGTATGATTTGGGAACCGGTATTACATTATACGAGAAATACTGCAAACAATTGTATTTTACAATTTGCGAAAATTTCAATCAATACGAGTCTAGAGCGCCCGTCAGTGGCCGACGATTGGCAGTAATTTTCATTATAAAATTTTTATATATATTCCAAACATTGCGTTGGATAGCACTGGCGCTACCAATCAGTCCGTGGTTTAAGCAACACGTGCTAAGCAATCCTACCAAGTACATTGGTAGACCAGAGTTTGTTTGTGCTCAAATGATACTCAATTTATTCATTATAATTGGATTGTCACACGTGTTGCACACCAGCGAATATTGTCATAAATTGTATATGGTAAAAGTATTGAACGATATGAAATACAATCGTTGTTTACAACCAATTAATGTAAAAGACGCTAAAAAGTTAGCGATTAATTTTAATATTTTTTTAAACGTATGCATAAAATTTCTGCTGATATTCTTTACAATTGATTTATCCACCATGTTCATATGGGGATCATTTAACAGTTATGATAGTGAGTACGCGTTACAATCAATAGTAATGATATCATTCTGGGCTATAATCACAATTATAGCGTTTTTGTTAAACAGCATTGTTATAATTATGGGGCTGACCATATTTATACTTATTATACTATATGTTAAATATAGTTTTGACGAGATTAATACAAGAATTTATTTGTATGCTAAACTTGGTCTGAATAAGTGTTTAATTAAATCGTTTGCCGATCACAACGTTATGATATTAATGACTTGCAAATTAAATCAAGTATTATGTAAAATTATCATGATCATTTATTTCATGTCAATACCTTCGGTCCAGTTGTTAATCTATTCGGTACACAATAAGGAAACGACAGTAATTGCAAAAGTAGTTACATTTCTGTCAGCATTTGCACTGATTTTAGTGTTGTTTAGTCTAAACCTGTTGTTAGCGTTGGTATCGAAAAGCGCTCACAAATGCTATTCATTTATGTTTTCAATACTAATGAGTCGTTCGCTAACTATAAGACAGAGACTGAGAGTGGAGTCAATGGCAGCCGTGATGTCGGGTCCGGACATTGGTTTCTATTGCTATGACTTATTCCCTATGAATAGCTATGAGTTCTATCAACTCCTATACATCGCTGGACAAAACTATTTCTTATTTATGCAACTCTTTTAGAGTAATTTGTTAACGCTAAAAAATCAGCTGTTACATGATTAATATTTAATATTAATTATACTCTTTAACTTATTTAATTAAATAAACAAAAATAGATTATATTATAAATAAAATTAATTTATGAACATTAATTGAAATAAAGTGTTATTTTGTTATTTTCATTATGAAAGTTAATATTTTATTAGAATAATTGGATAAAACATAATTTCTAATACACTCTAAAATATCAGTAATATTTGTAATTGGATTACAATTACTGTTAATAAATGTATTATTTGTTTAATCATTATTTATACGTTCAGTATAAATTGTATTTGTATAATTTATGTAAATTATTTGATTTGTTGATAATATTAATTAGTTTCTCTTTTCATATAAATTAAGATTTCTATTCAATGTATTGCAGAATTGATGGTATTTTTACAAAAAATAGTTTCTTAAGAAAATAAATTTTGACAAATAAATAAATATTATTTAACAATAAAAAACATGATTGATTATTATAAAACATATTATATAAAAGTATCATAAAAGTACATTAATTTCATATTTGGTACATATTATAATGTCCTTGATTTAAGAAGTTTATTTTTTAGATATAATTTTTACAAAACAATAACTTTTAGTGTATTGTATATATAATTTATTTTATAATACATACATCGAGATGAATAAAATTAACGGCAATATAATTATTGCAACAAATCACGTAATTATTTTACAATTTTTATTTACTTAAAAAGGTTTCAACAAAAATGTATTTCTTGTTCCTGTAAGGATATGTATGT